TACCATTCACCAGAATCAGAGAAGTTTGTATGATCACACCGTAATTTTTCGATTATAGTCGACTGAACTTCAACAATCGTAAACATTATTATTATCTTTTTAGGCGTCATTCGACGCACCATCAGAAACACACAGAACGTTTGAATTCACCCGACTTCTTACCTGATACCCCTGAAATATAAAAAATCTTTATAGTTCTTTCTAGAAGAAACCTGCTAACTCCGTTATTTAGAGAAAATTGCCAAGCGCCAAGTAACATGTTGAAATTGGCGTCCGAAACTGGAAATTTATGGATTTACCAAAATATTTCTGATTGTCAACATCCCTGGAGCTGATTTGCGTTATTCCTCAAATCCTAGTTATTCGTCACAACACAGTTTCTGTAAAACGCTTCGAATATTATATTGCGCGTTCTTGTTTTAACACCATTATTCATATTCTTGTGCACTTAGATTTGTTTCACAGATTCTATTATGAATTTATCCTGCAACATATCAACCCAACAGGGCCATCTATTACAATAAATGTGGCCAGGACCAATGTCGAGGACTTACTAAGTCATTTACTTGGGATGCTTATTCCCCTCAATAAACATACCTGTGAAAGGCATGTTTTCAGCAGACCTTTGTCATGTTTACTGGTAGATGTCAGGAAAGGAGAAGAAATCTTTTGCATCATTAATGTTTTTACGGGTTATGTACCAGATTTTAAATCGATTTGTACAATCTTTAATTTCATCTTCAGATGTGTGACTGTTCAATTGTCGAACAACTGATTCTATGGCGAAGTCAAAGATATCATTAGTGGCAATGAATGCAGTGTATGAAGGAGATATACCTAAAAGCATCCAAAAAGAACGCTACTTTCGGATAGATGAGCAGGTGTAATAGGAGGAAGACCATCAAATGTACACTCCGAAGCATACTTAAGTAATGGATTCGCATATAAGGAACTGCATGATATAGATAAGGACACTTCCACTGGTTTAAATATAGTTTACTCTGCTATTCTGAGAAAAGTAGCTTCTATCTACAATCGATTTACCACTGAGTGGTGGTCAACGTCAGAAGTTGCAAAACTCAGATGATTTGTGTCGGATGATTGGGGTCTATTAGAGGTAGACGGGAACGGTGTGACGAACCAGCTAACTTCGAAGTCACACCTCAGTGTTGGCGTGCAACGTAGATCAATCTTTTTTCGTATCCATGTACTATGGCTACTTTGATGACCGTACAACACAAACGACTTTATTACAGAAATATATTAGTTAGGGTAGGTACAGGAAACAGAGTGTGACCATTGCTTAATGGGCCCGTTCATGATGTACAAATAGCTGATGCGCTTTGGTTTTCCTTGAATTTGATGATGATTGGTGAACTGTTCCACATACGGTGATCCCACGACCAGGGTTATCTGGCTGGGGCCCAGTCACATTTTACTAGCCGTACAGGGTCAATGCTGAAACACTTAATCGTTACGGTATGGCTCGACTGTACAGGCATGATCACATGAAATAAATTGTTTTATGCCGAGCACAAATTCATCTTACAGAAGATCACAAAATGAATACTGTCAGTTGTCATGATAAGGTGAATCAGTTTTGACAACCTCCTGAATTCTATGTAATATCTCGTATATTAGACGATCATATCACAACAAACCCACAGTACCGAATTAAGCTTTTATATTCTAGTCGCATATACAAGTGCATCAATAACGTTCTAGACCTAAACCCTAAAAGCGAATATAACGTACATACAAAAACAAAAGATATGAAGACGGGCCTGCGGAATAGCATTGCAGGCTATCAGTGTTCTGGTAAAATTAAAAAGCGATATGGTAAGTTTGAACATTTAGCTCTTATAGCTTGTTTTTAAAGTACATATGACAAAACGTTACAATAAACTACAATAATAATAAAGATATATTCGCAAGTAACAATGTATTTCATGAGTCATGTTCTATCCTACGCTACGAAACATTTCTGATCCAACGATGAACCAACGGTCTGGCAGTCGCAAATTTCCGATATACTTGTTGAAGTTACTTGTAGGATTGGTGTTTTGTAACAAGGTGTGGAACATAGTGTAGAATTGTGATCTAGTTCGGTATTGGCACATTTGTTCTCGCTACCACAATAATAGATCTGGTTCCAAAATTGTAGATTTGCAATGGTGTTACTACCTAATCCATAAGATCTTTCGTGGAAGTCAAGTCATTCCCTACACTGATTCGTCTTATCGTGACAATCAAAGATATGATATCCAGCATTTCTGAAGCACACATTTAGGCTATATAGAGAGTAATATATTCCGTAAAAAACAACAAGCTGTGCACATTGACCACGTCTTCATGGCCAAGTTATGTTATCTCGAATAATTGCCGTTCTGCTGATTACTTTTCCTCTCTTTTTTGATGTTGAATGTAACCCGCAAAGGTAAAATTTAGAGTAACTTCGTGTCACCTAAGGCTGTAGTTTGTACCAAGTGCCCTTTTTAAACAGACCCAGTGACACTTAATTATGACAATCACTAACAATTTATTTTCAGATAACAGTTTGTTACATTAGGCATGCCAGTTTACAGGCAAGATCAGATTGTTACCAAAGTTACAATTTTCACCGTAGTAACATAATCGGCTGGGTTGAAGTTTTATAAGATATGAGTGTAGATAGTTTTAGTAAGAAACGTATTGTCACTATCACAACTGGCGCGCTCTATAAAAGTTGCTTCGTTTATAGCAAATTGTCTAGTTTGCTTACAAAAGGATTACTCGGTAGGAAGTGAAGCCAATTGAGCGTTTTAAACACCACTTGTAAAGGTATTTTGCGTAAACAAATAGACATCAATACCATTGGTTCGTGACATCCCACTCGACATAAGGAGTAGTAATTAAGTAAAATGTTCTGTCCTACGGAACTCCGCCTGTAGCTCCTTTGGGGGTTACTGTCGGTCCCAAACCCGGCTAAAGGAGGAGGGTTGGGCATGGAATTAGCGACACCATCCCGTAGAAAATCAACTCGCTAAAAAACGCTAACCAGAAAAATCATTCAAACCTTTCAAACTCTGCCCTGGGAGTAGAAGGAATAATTATGACGTCTCATGATGAAAGCCGAGCTCCTTCGGAAGTCATGAGGCCGATGCACCTTCTTACAACCAGAGCGACAATTTTTATAGGTACATGGAATGTCCGGACAATGTGTGAGACCGGAAGAATTTTCCAAATTGCTGCAGAAATGAGAAAATACAACCTGGAAGTGCTTGGAATCAGCGAAACACATTGGACGCAGGTTGGACAACAACGACTGTCTTCAGGAGAACTTCTGTTATACTCCGGTCATGAAGAAGAAAATGCCCCACATACACAAGAAGTGGCATTGATGCTGTCCGGAAAAGCACAAAATGCACTTATTGGATGGGAATCTCATGGACCAAGGATCATCAAAGCCTCCTTCAGAACAAACAGAGAGGGCATTACAATGAACGTCATCCAATGCTATGCGCCTACCAATGACTACGGTGGAGACGCTAAAGACCAATTCTACGATCGGCTGCAGTCGATCGTCGAGAAGTGCCCAACCAAGGACCTGACAATCCTGATGGGAGATCTCAATGCTAAGGTTGGAATGGACAACACTGGATGCGAAGACGTCATGGGACAACATGGACTGGGAGGAAGGAACGAAAATGGTGAGAGATTTGCAAACCTATGTGCCTTCAATAAACTGGTCATAGGTGGCACCATATTCTCACACAAAGACACACACAAAGCCACTTGGATTTCACCGGATCACACTACACAGAATCAAATCGACCATATCTGCATCAACAAAAAGTTCAGGAGGACGATGGAGGATGTGAGAACCAGAAGAGGAGCTGATATAGCATCCGATCATCATTTGCTGGTCGCCAAGATGAAACTAAAACTCAAGAAGCACTGGACAACGGCGCGCACAACATCACATAAGTTTAATACGGCTTTTCTTCGAGATGCTGACAAACTCAACAAATTCAACATAGCCCTCAGCAACAGCTTCGAGGCCTTTCATGATCTACTCAATGGAGAGGGAACTACCATGGAGAGCAACTGGAAAGGTATCAAGGAGGCAATCGTTTCAACATGTCAAGAGGTTCTGGGCCAAAAGAAGCACCATCACAAGGAATGGATCAATGCTGATACACTGGATAGGATTGAAGAAAGTAGGAAGAAGAAGGCAGCAATCAACACCAGCCGAACCAGAGCGGAAAAAGCCAAGGCACAAGCCGAATACACAGAGGCAAACAAGCAAGTGAAGAGGAGCATCAGAACCGACAAACGTAAATATGTGAAAGATTTAGCAATGACAACGGAAAAGGCTGAAGGAGAGGGAAACATGAGACAATTGTATGATACAACAAAGAAACTTGCTGGAAATTACCGGTAGCCAGAAAGACCAGTGAGAAGCAGGGAAGGCAAAGTAATCACCGACATTGAAGAACAACGAAACAGGTGGGTAGAACACTTCAAAAAACTCTTGAATCGACATCAGTCTTCTCCCAATACCAGGAAAAGTCTTCAACCGAGTATTGTTAAACAGGATGAAGGATTCCGTGGACGCCAAACTTCGAGATCAACAGGCTGGATTTTGTAAGGACAGATCGTGCACAGACGAAATCGCAACTCTACGTGTCATTGTGGAACAGTCAATCGAATGGAATTCAGCACTCTACATCAACTTCATTGAATACGAGAAGGCATTTGATAGTGTGGACAGGACGACAGTATGGAAGCTTCTTCGACACTACGGCGTGCCTGAGAAGATAGTCAATATCATACGGAACTACTATGATGGACTAAACTGCCAAATCGTCCACGGAGGACAACTCACCGACTCGTTTCAAGTAAAGACCGGTGTTAGGCAAGGTTGCTTACTCTCACCCTTTCTCTTTCTCCTGGTCATCGACTGGATCATGAAGACGTCAACATGTGGAGGAAATCACGGGATACAGTGGACAGGCAGGATGCAGCTGGACGATTTAGACTTCGCGGATGATATGGCTCTTCTATCACAAACGCAACAACAAATGCAAGAGAAGACGACCAGTGTAGCAGCAGCCTCAGCAGCAGTAGGTCTCATTATGAACAAAGGGAAAAGCAATTATCTTCTATACAATACAGCGTGCACCGATCAAATCACACTTGATCGAGAAGCTTTGGAGGATGTGGAAACCTTTACATATCTGGGCAGCATCATTGATGAACACGGTGGATCAGATGCAGATGTGAGGGCGCGGATCGGCAAAGCAAGAGCAGCATACCTACAACTGAAAAGCATCTGGAGCTCAAAACAATTGTCAACTAACACCATGGTTAGAATTTTCAATACAAATGTCAAGACAGTTCTACTGTATGGGGCGGAGACGTGGAGAAATACGAAAGCCATTATCCAGAAGATACAAGTGTCTATTAACAGCTGTCTACGCAAAATACTTCGGATCAGATGGCCAGACACTATCAGTAACACGTTTCTGTGGGAGAGAACAAACCAGATTCCAGTAGAGGAAGAAATCAGGAGGAGGCGCTGGAAGTGCATTGGGCACACTTTGAGAAAATCACCTAATTGCATCACAAGACAAGCCTTCACATGGAATCCTGAAGGTCAAAGTAGAAGATCAAAGAACACATTACGCCGAGAAATAGAGACAGACATGAGAAGAATGAACAAGAACTGGATAGAACTAGAAAAGGAAGCCCAGGACAGAGTGGGTTGGAGAAAGCTGGTCAGCGGCCTATGCTCTATTGAGAGTAACAGGCGTAAGTAAGTAAGTAATTAAGGTCTGTCCTACAGACACGAGTGGATTGAAGTTATCTCCCCATCATCATATTTGCTGGTTAGTCACTCCACCCTCCCTCCTTTTATGATGTTAGGCTCTCTAACGTTTGTGATCAGCATGGATATTGCTTTGAACAAGGCCCATAGTCGGAATTCACTGTCTGTATCAGTTATTACAAGCAAATCAAATGGCTAAAGCATTTGTATTATGGGTTAGACATCCACTAATTATATCCCACTGCTATGAAGATAACTAATGATATAATCTATAAGAAACAGGTCGGATTATATGTGGTTAAGAAATCGTAAGGACTAATAGCAAACCAGAGGGTATGAAAGGGTAGGTTGTAAAACATTCAAGTTAAGAAAAATAAAACATTGAGCAACTCACAAGAATTTCGACATTTGAGCCTCTTTTGAACGGCCTTAGTTGGTCAGCATCCATAAGATTAGTGAGTTATCTGTCTACTTGTAATGAGAAAAATAAAAATAAAAGGACATGACGCTTAAGAAGAATAATGTAGGTTAACCATTAGAAAGATTCTGGAACTGAAAATGAGGGTTAGACGCAGAAGGCCGTGATTAATAATCAATAAATAGTGGGGGGGATAATAAGGCATGTTTTCTTTAGTTTGGTTATATTCATACTAACGACAACGCGGTTCGTTATATTCTTGTTCCGTCTAGATATTTGACGGTCCATAATAAAGTGCCTCATTGGTGGGCGGGAGTTCAAGAAATAGTTGGTGAAGCTCTTTAGAGTTTAGTAACAAGGTTATTAGCCTTTTAAATTTGGTAAAGGTGTCACAGTTACGGATAGGTATTGGCAAACTGTTCCACAATAAACTATACCATATTGTAAAAGACTTACAACGCATTCGTTTTTGGTGCTTTAGGGTAAATAATGTATATGCGTTGTTTCTTAGACTATAGGCTGGGTCATGGATCGTAGTTTGACAGGAGGTTAGTAGTGAGAGTTCATTCATTGCTTTTTAGAGAAATATCAGATGTTCATAAGCCTACGGTGCCATGAAGTTCTTAAAGGGAGGTTCTTCCATCTACCTGTGTAATCGAGAATGAAATCACTTCCCAGCAGTTGGCGTGTTTGGGCACCTTCTACTCTTATTTTGTGTATCATATTCACATTAGAGAAGATGAAAGAGCAGTATTCAAGGGAAAGTCGTACATGTATTTTGTAAAGGGTAAGCTTAGCCTCTGTTGTGAAGACATTTTTGTTATGAAATCAATTAGCCGTCTAGCTTTAGGAATAAAAGGGGAGGCATGTTCTTCAAAGCTTATGCTTCCTGTGAATTAATTCCAAGATCGTGTACTGATTTAAGTGTCTGGACTTTAGTGTTATTTAAGTAAAGTTGTAGTTCGTGGGGATGCTTTCCAAAATGCATGATCACACACTTGTTGACGTAAAATGGTAATTGTCATTTTTCGCTGCAGATAGTTAGATCATTGAGATCATTTAGAATCAGGGATAAACTTTCACTTAGAGCCTCAGGCTTATAGCTGTATACTATTTTGAGATTATCAGCAAATAAGCATGGTTTCCCAAGTTTTATGATGTTACATATATCGTTTATATACATAAGAAACAAGAGTGGACCTATTACACTTCCCTGGATGACTCCACTAGTTATTAGTGTTATTAGTGTTCAGAGACAGTCATTGTACTTTACCATCTGTTTACGTTCCGTTAAGAATTAGGTAAATCATGAATAGAATGGGTTGTTGATTCCCAAGGACCATAGTTTGACTACAAGCCTTTTGTATGGGACCTTATCAAAAGCTTTCTTAAAGTCTAAAATATAGGACTGATACACTAGTTTTCAGATTTGTATTATAAGGACAGGCCTACGCTCTATGTTTTTCCTTTTCTAGTATGCTTCTGTGAGTGTCTAGTCTTCTCTCAAATGAGTCAGTTGAAGGTGCAGAAACCACTGCTTCGGGCAGCAGGTTTCAGGTAATGATGACTGGGTATGGAAACCTGTATACCACAGGTACTTTGTCCGTTGTTGGCGTTTCTACTCGTCTGCTATGTACTTTGAGATGTCAAGATCTGAAGGGAAGAAAAAGAGAAAGTTAGGTCCAAAATCATTTCTTGGTATTCTGTACATCAAAATTAGGTTTCCACTAAGTCTGAGATATGACAGAATGAAGAGGTCCGGCTTTTCAAGCCCCTATTTTTATGGTAAAACCCAGAGCTCTGGAATTGTACGGGTATCTGCCCACTGTACTTTTACCAGGGTATGCAAGTCACATTTAAACAAGGGCTTGCAGCCTGAACGCAGTTCTCAAGCTTAGTTTTCACTAAGGTTGTGCGCACTGTATTGAATATGGTAGTATTTACCTTGATGAATGTCTTTTTTAAGGCCCATAGGGTTCTAAACCCCTTAGCTGGCAATGGGACGTGGTCTTAGGACCATGACTCACTGTCACCCCTATGTCTTTATGAGGCCGGACCACGGGTACCGGCGCTTCCTGTATGCTGTACCTATCAATTTTTGTATCTCCAAAGTTCATGTACACCCACTTCGCCGCGTTGATAGACATCAGCCACTCTTCAGACCAGTTAATCACATTATATAAGTCTGCCTGAAGAGCGTATGCGTCTGAAGTTACTGCTCACCAGAATTTTATATCTTCATCGTATGATAGCATTGGGGACTGTAGTAAACTTGGGAGATTATTTGTATACAATATAAAAAGTAAAGGACCTAGGACCTAACCTTGAGGTACTCCACTAAGTACTGGTCTCCAGGTGGAGCACTGTTTACGACCTGCTAGGAAATCCTTAAACCATTTTGAAAGAGGTCCGGAAAATCCAAAGTCTTCTAGATTCAAAAGCATTCTGTTTTTCGGTACCTTGTCAAAAGCATTAATGAAGTCCATGTAGGCAACATCCACTGAGTTTCCGTTGTCTAACGCCTTTATCCCGAATTCCCTTGTTATAAGGATGTTCGTTGCACAAGATACACCCTTACTAAAACCATATTGTTCACTGTTTAACAGGTTATTAGTTCCCATAAATGTCAATATGGTCTGTTTGACTATTCTTTCCAATATTTTAACTACAACATCGGTGAGACTTACAGGTATGTAGTTCGATGGAAGTTGTCTTGCTCCTATTTTATGTGTAGGAGTGACGATCGCGTCCTTCCAGTCCATAGGTAACACACCTTGATCAAGTGGCAAATTGAATATCACATTTAGTGGGGCGGCGACACTTTGTACAATATGTCTCAATATTTCAGGGTGTAGTTCAACTGATCCTGTTGACTTTGCCATGTATAAGGTCAGTCAGTCACAATGTAGAACTTCGTACGTACGTAAATCAGTTCGATTTGCCATACCACATTAGCACAGAGATGAAGTTGTCGAATCAAATCCCATGGTGGTGGAACTAGTAAGTGTATAAGCATTAATGTGAAAGGTTACGGTCTGAAGATGTTATTGAAGGAGTATAATACGGTGAAATAAATTTGAAAATAGAAAAAGGACAGGGACATGAAGAATTTAGAATATTGGAATTTGTCAGAACACGAAGAGTGGATGCACCTTCGCCATTGCAAACGATTTTGAGCCATGTCATTCAAGGTCTAATGACATGGCACGATGTATAAGGTGCCAAGAGCCTTAAGCTTTAAGAGTCTTGACCGAAGTCCACGGTGAGCAGGTGGTATGTTGACTTTGTATTTGGGTCTGGTTCTTTGTCCAGAAGAGGTTTCCGAGTGAAAACTGCCCTAAAGTAGTTAGCCATAGATTCTGCTTTTTCCTGATCTTCCTGGATCATATCTGATTCACTCCCTTCTTTAATCAAGTTGGAAATCCAATAACGCATCCCTTTTCTGTAGTTTATGTACGAGAATATTCCCTTACGCTGCTTGAGTACAGTTGTTCCAACTGCATTTCATATTTCCTCCGAGCCTAACGATCTTTAATTATTCACGTATTTCTTTCTGATCTGTAGCGTTTCAGTGTACCTGCTGTGCCCAGCAACATTCCAACATTTTTTCTTTTGTCTTAGTGAATGTCGAATATCCCGGCCTATCCAGGGATGGCCGTACTTTTTCTTTGGGACAGTTCAGGGTACGTATGGTTGAGTTACCCGATAGTATAAATGCCTGAAATGAGTCCATGTCTCTGGCACTGATGCCCTTGAGTCAACATCCCAGTTTTCAACCTATACTGAAGAGTTGATTGCCTCCATATCTGCCTTCCGAATATTAGGACGGCCTTGCGTAACTGTTTGACAGGCGATTTGAATAATATGACTGCATGGTCAATTCTCCCTGGTTGTGAGAGGAAAGTCATTTGACCAACGTCTTCACCTTGTGTGAAGACTAAATCCAAAAGAGAAGAAGAGTTTCTTAAGTCATTTCTTGTGGGATTTCTAATGTGTTGGAACACTGCTAATACAATCGAGGTTTCTGACATTTTGCAATCGAACGGCCTCATCAATGACCATACTACAAGGCTCTTACCATTATTACACAAGGACTATAATCTCATTATGACTTAATAATATTTCCATTTTACTTGTCGAATAATCCTATATCCATAACCGGGGGCCCTGTTGATTCCTTTCCATTAGATGTGGAAGCCCGTTAATCGGAAGTTTTGATTAGCTCCACCGCCATTTGTACCATGAACAATGATATTATTTCGTAATTAGAATGATATGCACAATTAGGCAGCAAGTATGTATCCTAACACAAAATAATCAGTAGAACAGGAAATACACCAAGCATTACTGAGTTTTCATGTCATCAACTAAAATGGTATTCGTTATAATTAGTTAAATCCTAGCATTCGCCACACCGTCTATTTCAAATTATGGCGGGTTACGCAGCTTGACTTGTCGTCAGTCGTCGGTAAGTAATTATAACAATCTTTACAGCATACAGATATCTTGAAGTTTATTGCCTCAGTCATAATTATTACTAATATGTATGAATGTTCCAGATAGTTTGAATTAACATTTCAATGTGATCGTACCTTATGAATGACCTTGAAGGAGAAACTATTCACCTTTCTTCTTGTTTTTCACCCAATGTCTAGTGGCTGAGCATTTCTAGGGACTAAGTGGTTTCACATTGTCAGCAACTATTTGTAGACGGCTGACTGAGCACATCGTTTTCGGAGTTTCTATTCACTTTTGGGCCAACCTCCACTAAACTTCACTATGCTTCATACATAAAATAAAAATGCATTTTAGTTGTAAGTAAACCGGATTCCAGACAGTTTGAAACTTCAGAAATTTTACTGATAGACGCCAAATTTAACTAGGACGTGTCAGCTGCTCTCTTTTTGTGATGATTGCGTGCTTCGGTTTTTGTGCAATTGTGAGAAAAAGTGCTCCAACTGGAAACATGCTCATGTACTAAGTTGAGTTGCGTCTAATGTGTCAAATGGGACTATCCTTGGAGAATAGGATCTGTAGAGCGATGTCGAATTTTATGACCTACCATGCCAGGCAGGTCGGTTGGTTATCAGTAAGACTAAATTCAGCAAACTCAAGGTTCGAAGGTGAAGTCGTACCGCTGGCTGTACAGAGGTGTGACGGCAGTAAGGTGTTTCCTTCGGAAAACCAGCATAACAGTGATGCTCTCTTTTCACAAGGAGGGGACGGGGTTAGAAAAAGCCGACCCCAAAAACGCACACCTCTCCTTATTCCATTGGATATCCGTCTCTGGCGGTAAGATCTCAACAAGTACGGAGGCAACACAAAAATTACCAACAAAAAGGTCTTGTGTGACCGGCCTCAAGCATTTGTCTCTTGGGCACTGCGGTCACGCTCTCAGGTCACTAAGAACAATTCTACCCTAATTTCCTTTTCAGGTACCTCTAAGCGAACCCTTCCACGGTGTGGGCAACTGGGAAGTGATGACCGCCCTCATACCTATAACAACACTCAAGATCACTGTATTCATAATCGATCTCCTTCCTCAATTCTTATTATTCCTCACGCCTCGACTTTCAACACTAAACTTCCCCTCTTGGCTTCCTTCTCAAGCGTCACCAAAGCCGACGATTCTAGTGCGCAAAATTCTGTCCCTGGTCTACTAAAGCCTCTCTCCAAACTGCATATTGAAGCCTTCAACGTGCGCACACTTTGTCAAGTCAGCTAGCAGGCCTCTTTGGCTAAAACCGCAGAATCTCGTTCCACTGATGCATGCTGTGTCTCCGAAACACACATACAGGATCCTAGTGTGGTCATTCATTTGATCTCACCTCGCCAAAACGGAGAGCCGGCGAGATACACCCTTCATGTATCTGGTGACCCAATGGCTAGTTCTCGTTGACTTGCAGGTGTAGGCATAGCACTTAGTACGAGAGCAGAGCAAGCACTATTAGAATGGATCTCCGTTAACAATCACCTATATGCCATTCGGCTAAGTGGCTCCGTAAGAACTCGGAAGGATGTCGACACACATCGTTGCCTTTTCGTCGTTTCTGCCTACAATCCCACTGACTGCAGTCCGGATAAAGTGAAAGATGACTTTTGCAGAAAGCTCTTTGAACTTTGTAAAGCTAAATGTTCAGACATAGTAGTCGTAGCAGGTAACTTTAATGCCCAATTAGGTAGCTTAAACGAAACAGAAACACATTTAGGTGGGTATTTTAGTATTCAGGCTTAGTGAACAGATAATAGTGACCATCTGTTGCAACTTTGCTCAGAAAATCATTTATTTTTAGCAAACACTAATTCTGAGCATAAGGAGAGATATCGTCTAATATGGTGACCACCTGCACCAAACCGACGATGGACTCAGATAGACCATAATCAGTCATCGTTGGAGAAGCTCAATAGAAGATTGTCGCTCGTTCTGGAATGCATGTTTAGACTCTGATCACACTTTAATAAGAGCACGCATTTGTTTGCGCCTCACTGGACGCAGAATAGCTACAATAAGAAGACCCATTAGAATTGAACTGAGGGACGAGAAAGACAAAAGTAAGTTCCATGAACAACTGAGTTCATATTTAGGCAGTTCTGTAAACGAGGCTGACCCGGATGTTACTTGAAAAGATACACGAACAACTATGGAAACAGTAGTAACATCTATTAGTAATTTTAACCAAAGAGTTACAAAAAACCAATGGATTTCTTCCAAGTCTATTGCACTAATCGATTGTCGACCACACCAAAACGCGGCATCAGTGCTTGAAGTTGCTGACTTCTAGTGTGAGCCATGTTGGTAGATGGAGACTACTTGGTTGGGGTCCATGTGACTATCGTAACCAATGGTTTGAGACAGTGTGGCATGGCTCAGAATCGACCACAATGGCGTAGGCGTATGCACTCTGTCTTTCTTTCTTCCTGTACTGTATCCTTATATACAATCTTCCTTTTATATATTACCACCATTAAATTAACTACTTCTATGAATTCGGTGTTCATCTTGCTGTGCTAATGAGGTATGGCAACTTGAACCAATGCATATATGTGCCTGGTCCTACGTTGTAGCTGACTGACTGATTGACAATTTCACAGTGTTGGTTGGTTCAGACAGTTTGGTAGTAGTCCGCTCGACGGGGACGGTCACACTTAAATGATGTGGCTCAATGTTAGTCACAGTAGCTAAAATGCATTCAGTCTTTGTTTTCCCTCAGGTCCTTCTTATCAAAATTATTTAGTGCATTTTATTCTTTAAGTTTACTTAAACACAAATATTGGTACAACTGGGCATCAAAATCAACATGCGCTATGCAACAGGGGAATGTGATTGTGTTTTAATTCCTTTCCAAGTCATTTTCAATATCTGGTCGTTGTTTGCTACTGCTATTTGATTTCATCTCGATATTATCATCACTGTGTAATTTGTTGTACCAACTTCAGCTGTGGTCAAAACTTGAACCTTATAATCAAATCTTAATTCTCTAGACTGGGTATGATAGTCTTTCTTGACTTAAAAGCAGCATTTGATTCTGTAAACCGAGAGGTTCTGTGGCAGTGTCTGTCATTGAAAGGCGTACCTCAGAAGTACATAAACCTTGTAAAGGCTCTTTACTCGAACACTACCAGTCGAGTGAGAGCTTATGGCGAACTGTCATATGATTTTACAACATCAAGTGGTGTCCGACAAGGCTGTCCACTATCCCCATTTTTGTTTAACTTCATTATAGACCTGTTGCTGGAAATAACACTCTCGTCGACTGAATTATCAGGAATTGATCTTCTACCAGGAGGTTTACTTATCGACTTAGAATACGCAGATGACATAGTCCTGTTTGGTGAAGACACTGACAAAATGCAGTCTTCTGTTGGAACTCAGTAATAAAGCCAGGATGTTTGGAATGCGTTTCTCCCCATCCAAATGTAAATTGTTACTCCAGGACTGGCCTGCGCCAACACCTGAACTAAGGACAGGGAGTGAAGTAGTCGAACGCGTGGACAACTTCACTTATCTTGGAAGTCTGATCAGCCCTAATGGGTTGGTGTCTGACGAAATCTCAGCACGGATTCAAAAAGCTCGTTTGGCTTTTGCCAACTTACGTCACCTATGGCGAAGACGAGATACCCGTCTATCAATTAAGGGACGAGTATACTGCGCAGCAGTTCGTTCTGTTCTACTTTACGGCTGCGAAACATGGCCATTAAGAGTAGAAGATACTCGTAAGTTACTAGTATTTGACCACAGATGCCTTAGAAATATTGCTCGCATCTGCTGGGATAACCGGGTAAGTAATAATGAGGTTAGACGCAGGGTATTAGGGAACGATGGTAAATCAGTTGATGAGGTGATGAATCTTCATCGACTGAGATGGTTGGGCCACGTGTTACATATGCCTGAACACCGATTACCACGATGTGCTATGCTGACTAGTGTAGGGGATGGTTGGAAGAGAGTTAGGGGCGGCCAAACCAAAACATGGCATCAGTGCTTGAAGTCACTAACTTCTAGTCTGAGCCATGTTGGTAGGTGCAGACTACCTGGTTGGGGTCCGCGTGACTATCGTAACCAATGGTTGGAGACTCTGTGTGACATGGCTCAGAATCGATCACAATGGCGTAGGTGTATACACTCTTTATCTTCCCTTAAACCTTGTTATGCTTGTGACCGAGTGGATGACTTGCTAATGTGTGACGCGATAAGACCGCCAATTAGGGATCAGCGAATTGTCGATTGGAACAGCGACACGAAGCCGTACGAGCAGTCTACAGTGCTAACCGGTCCTGCGATCTGCTTAGCCCAGCCAGTTAAATCCAAAACACCAATAACAGCCTCAGTGGTATGAATCATTATTTACAAACATACTGGGTTTTTATACAAACCAAAGTAATCAATAACTGAGTATAACTCAAGAATCGTATGATAATAAATCAAAGATCAAAATAAAGCTCATGATAAGAGAAACACGAATATGAATAGTTTAGTTACGTAACAATTGTACAATAGGAAGTATGCATAATACATTGATCGATAAATAGACCTAAAAGTTAACATTCGTAATTCACCGGGGGATATAACAAACCTTGAGATTAAAATTGCTTCATAACTTTTTTCCTTCCTATACTATATCCTTCTATACTACCTTTCTCTATATACTACCACCACTAAATTAATTACTTCTATGAATCCGGTGTTCATCTTGTTGTGCTAACGAGGTATGGCAACTTGGACCGATGCATATATGTGCCTGGTCCTATGTTGTCGCTGACTGACTGACTGAGACTGGGTAACCTACAAAACTAGTTTCTTTAATTGTTTATAACACCAAATCACGTTCATTTTCTAATACTTTGTACGTAGGCGTTTTGTTTTAGGAGATGAAAAACTCACTCTTCTGTCTGGTGATCATTATCCTGTTATATCGTATCGTTGAGTTAATCTATTAATATATAGCCTCTGCCAGGGAAGTCCTACTCACTGCCTTCTCGTGGCGGGGGAGTTGTTTACGAAATTGAGAGGACGAAAAGCGAATGTCTGGCGCTTTAACCGGGTTGATGGTCAAGGCGAGTCTACCTAGGGGAGTTGGAAAACCCTGATTCCAAACCAATGGTGCACATGGGCTCCAGTATCCTGAGGGAACAAATGGCGTATGAATCAATCGTTGATCACCGGCTACCATAGGACTGCATCTCCTTACGATGCTCCACTGTCTTGTGGACTAGACCTTTAGGTCAAAGGCTCCGGGTGTGGGCCCCTAATAAAACCACCTACTTCAGTTCGGGCACTTGGTCAGTATCACAGCCCTCAAGCAAATCGAATGAGATATGTATGGCGCATATGTATCTGGTGCTTCCTTGTACCAATATTTATGTGTTTAAATAAAATAAATAAAAATTAATCATTTTTACATTACAAAACTCGCTCATTACTCATAAATGATCATAATTTATGACAGTGACCTGACTTTTTACTTTGCTTATAACTGAACACCTGACACAGACAATTAAGACAATTAAGCCCTGCTTTATTTGCAAGTGAGTACTTGGTGAAATTAGCGCTGGAGAGTTTTCGGTCCGTACTCTTCACATAGGAATGTAATTTCCCTAATTGGATGCCAGTCAAATTGTTCTGAGAGCATTAGTCAGACATATATTGGATTTAAGCATGTTTCATTGTGAATTGTGTTGGAGGATAATCACTGGCCCATTCTCAGTCGCTCAACTATGGTTTACACTTGGAGAAGGCCCTAAAATGTTCTTGCGTAAAATTATAAATATACTAACTTTTTTCTTATTGTAATCCTTACTCCAATCCTACCGTATTTATTTAGAATATAATTGCCTGTCCAAGCTATGTTCTAATTTGAGTATTTGTCGACTAAAGTAAAGTGTCCGAATAATACCAACCAATTAGGCACAAAGTGAAAAAAAAGTCTTATTCTCTTGATAGTGTTTCAGTCTTTAAAAAGATTTGTACGTAGTTTTTTTTCCAGGAATCGGAGTACGTTTCATCTCAAATGTTGAATGGTACCATAGTAATCAAATTGTACAAAACTAATGAAAAGCTGACTCGGATTGTAAATACACCAGTCACATTTTCACCCTTTCCTAAACACTAAAACCGTCACGTGTTTAAGGGACCAATAAATGCCTTTTTTCACACATGTAATGTCTATTAGATTGAACGAAATCATGGTTTTCAGGTGTTTGGTAAAAACGTTCATAGAACTTAACATTTTACAAGCCTTGTGGATGAATAACATATGTAAAAATATTGATTGCCTTGCTTCAGTTTTACCGAAACAACTGGGTCATTTGCTTTGATCTGATTTTGGAATCCGTTTTCATTAGCATTTCAGTAACTGCTATAAAGTATTTAAAACAGTTGATATTTCTATCTATAGAAGTATTATAATATTCACTATTCAGGAGATGTCCTTAAGTTGTAGCACAACAACTGCACTAATTTTCGGCATTCAGTATCTGCAAGTGTGACATTCGCAAATTCCTTTTTCAATTTGGGGGAGAAATAGTATACATTTGACTCTTTATAATGAACCTTTGGGTAATGCTAGAAAAATCGTATAGTAGAGTCCAAAGTGACCCCTATTTCTATCTTTTTTGTTGCCGTGACAAGGTATACGCTTCAGTAATCATTGTTTTTATCTAGATTTGCACGGGTTACTAAATTGGTGAGCCACCAAAAATTGGTGGTTCGTGTTGATCTGACTCCAATTTTCATGTGTGATTGCATATGCCATAGATATAAATTTCCCGTTTAATCCCGTATACTACATCCAGGCTAACCCTGTTTGTGTGACGGCGGAAATGAGAAGCTAAATAAGGGTTGTTAGATGAGTTTATTTCAGGCTTTCGTTTACTCAGACAAACAGAAAAATGGGAAGCGACGAAACGAGACAGAGAAGACAAGTGTACCGATTCCATTTGACATGACTCACTATTTATAGCCAGGCAAAAATAAGCTTAATGCACATGAATAGGGCAAGCGGTACACATACGTATAAAAAGTCAATGTTTTAGGTGAATAATTGACATGGTGAAAATATGGTGTGGACAGTGACTGTCCGAAAGCTAGAATAACTCGTGTGGGCATGCCATAGTACTAGAGACTACAATTTCGTGTCTTAAGTAGTGAAATTTAGTTAAATGTCATACTCCACGTAACGTCCTACTATATCTGTTATTTCCTTTGATTTTCTAGACAATTGTTAATGGGTGCTATAAATTCACTAATAGACACCCCAGGTGGTTATTCTGTTCTCCAGAAAAATTCGGAAACTCGACATTGTCGTTTTTGTGGGTCTGCTTACAATGATGTTTGTACAAAAGATATTCAAACGTCGCGTTTGGAAGATCATCATCCTGCTGAGCTCTGTGGTATTTGGCTGGGAAAATTGTTTTCAAATCAGATGAAAGAAATCCGTCTACATGGTGACTTCAGAGCTTTGTCTGCATCTCAATCACACTGTGCTGAAACTGAAGGCGATTTTGAATCAGTAGGATCTCCATTGGTGACATTACCAAAGCGTTCCTGCGCCCCAACAAGGTCACACGTCGCAACGTTACTTCGACATTCTGATGCCACAAAAAACCAATCCACATTAAAGGACTTTTTTTCTACTATGGATATTCGTAATTCAAGTTCAGTTCAGTATACAGAACTTGAAGGCTGTCATATTAACGGGTGTTTGTTCGTAGAACATGGGAATTTGGTTTTCCAAGCTGCAAGCAAGAGGTCACATGTTCCATTTCTGCTCATTGATCAACAAATGCTGGGACCAACTAGCGAATGTGTTGCTCCAATATTTCATCGTAAGTCCCACTATAGTGACAACGAATCAACTTACCATAGCATCATGACTACGAAAAATAAATGATTCGTCGAATTAATATTCTAAACATTTTGATTCTCAGTCGTCTTGATATTTTAAATATTGCTCTAGTAATCATTTCATAATGTTACAAATAATGGTTATTTTACTTTGACAGTTTCTATATGTAAAATTATTGAAGTGAAGTTGTCACAAACTTCGAGTTATCAACATATTTGTCTGGAACACGTAGTGAGCAGGTATTGATATCTAGACTGTTATATTAACATTAGCACTGACTTTATAGATTACATCAATCTTTGTGTGACAAGGAAACCAAATTAATTAGTATCTATTTATGAAATTCATTAGCAATCTATTTAGCATAGTTGTATCAGCCTGATTAATTTTCAGGATGGCCTAATTTCAAATCTCAGTGGGTACTCAATATTTCCTAAAAGTAAAGTTATAAATCTGTGGTGTTTCTTTTGGTGATATATATATGATTTAGCAGTAAAGGTAGGTTTAGTCTTGTCTTATTACTCTGAACACCCATTTTTTCGACGGCTGACCCATAGGTTCGAGTCAATCTTTACCTGTATTGTGTAGCTCATGGCTTAGTATACTGACTTAGGATCGGTTATTAAGTTACTTCGTGGACAGATAGCATTTTTCAATTAAGTCTTGTGCGTTCCCTTAATGAAATGTAATAATGCATGATAGAAATTATTTAGAATCCACTTGAGAACTAAACTTGCCGATCCAATTCATTATTAAGTAAGCCTATCGATTGTTTTTCAAGTTGTTTCATCATGAACTAAAATTAAGCTAGTAATTACCTGAACCTAACACAGGATGTCTGTAGATAGATACTGGTTTCTAGTGAAACCAAGTGGCTGATTGCAAACGAATCTACGAAACTGAGTTAAATTTTTCAACTAAGGGCTCAATATATTACTTGATATAGAAAGTGAAGCTCAAGGCATTAGTTGTTTAATGATTAAAGTTGAGTTGTTGTTTAGTTTATATTAAAGCATATTTTAGTTTTAATAAATTGTCATTTTCTAATTTCGTCATTATGATGGTACTACTCACGTTTCGTAATTGTGTGAATCCTACCCCGACGTACGATGTTTTATGGTGTAGGAGTAGGTTGGCAGAAAGCTAGGGGCGGCCAGACCAAAACGTGGCACAAATCCGTGAAGTCACTGACAAGTGGACTGATCCCTGTTGGTAGGTGTAGACTACCTGGTTGGGATGCGCGAGATGATAGCAACCGATAGTTAAAGACCTTTAATGACATGGCTGAAAATCGTTTGCAATGGCGAAGGTGCATCCACTCTTTGTGTTCTAACAAATTGTAATATTCTGAATTCCTCATGTCCCTATCCTTTTTCTCTTTCCAAATTTATTTCACTGTACTATACTCCTTCAATAACATCTTCAAACCCTAATTTTTCGAATTACTGTTTATACTCTTACTACTTCCACCACTATGGGGTTTGAATCGACAACTGCATCTCTGTGCTAATGTGGTATGGCAACTCGAACTGATGTACGTACGTACGAAGTTCTACGCTGTGACTGACTGACTGATCTAATGATCATGCACTTTGATTACTGAGCCGCAATCCCATGACGTTCGAACATAGTTTTCTATTGCATCTCAAAATCAAAGTTTGGGGGATTGAAAAAGTTGTTTTATTTTTACACTTTATTGTGATTAATTTTCAGCATTGAAACAAACAGCCTTATTTGTAACTGAATTTCCAGCCTTCTGATACACTGAAGTTCCTGAACTTCTTGTTTCATATCTAATGCCTGGTACAATGGGAGAAGAAAGAAAGGAAGATGAGTTCTAAGGTGCTATGGTTACTTGATTTCATGACTATAAGACTGATAGACGTCGTGATAAGTCAGTCTTCCGTTTGTTATGCAAACCAATGAGATTTACTAAATTATCCAAAATCCATTAATGCAGGATTCATACAAACATAATTGGTTTTCCTAAAAATAATTTTTTGTATAATAAAGTAGCTCATTTGAATTGTTCATCCAATGTTTCTTATGCATGTGTATATATTTTTTTGATGAATTAACATTAGAAACTAATAAAGGACGATTCTTTGACAATCCGAAACTGCACTGCCCAATTCAACGTCCATTACCCATTTGTTCATTCCCTGAAAATGGTTCTCATTTGGGGAATTCAGATATCGTTGGACAGAAATGCTCACCTTCGCTAGTGGATAATCCTTATATATCGACAGACAGGTAATTTTTTCATCTATATGTCTATAATATATGCATAATTCACATAGTATGGGTTTATGATTTTTTATTCTTCCTTCATTAGCTGTTAACGGAATATATATTGGGTTAAAGCATGTTCCGTGTAATATTGTGTTGGAGCATGCTGATCAACCATTTCTTAGCCAGCCAGCGCTAATGCATTCTTGGAGAAGACTCTATAGTCTTCTCGTGTGAAATTATAAATTATATATATATATATATATATATATATATATATTACTATCATCATCATCATCATTACTATCCGTCCGCATTGTGAAAGTGTGCAAATTCAAAACTGCTTTATGAAACCTTGTGTTTCATGAGTTCTGTAATCGAAATATCAGTTTTATAGGTGGGTTCTTAGCCTCGTATGTACGCATGTTGAAATGTTTTTATGCCACTTAGTTGCAGACTGAGATAAATTTATCATATCTTTCCAGTTTCCGTATTTATATTCGTTATAAAATGTTTTAAATCTAATAGTCAGTCAGTCAGTCACAACGTAGAACTTCGTACGTACGTACATCAGTTCGAGTTGCCATACCACATTAGCACAGAGATGCAGTTGTCGATTCAAACCCCATAGTGGTAGAAGTAGTAGGAGTATAATCAGAAATCCAAAAGATTAGGGTTTGAAGATGTTATTGAAGGAGTATAGTACAGTGAAATAAATTTGGAAAGAGAAAAAGATAAAGACATGAGGAATTCAGAATATTACAATTTGTTAGAACACAAAGAGTGGATGCATCTTCGCCATTGCAAACGATTTTCAGCCATGTCATTAAAGGTCTCTAACCATCGGTTGCTATCATCTCGCGAATCCCAACCAGGTAGTCTACACCTACCAACATGACCCAGTCCACTTGTCAGTGACTTCATGGATTTGTGCCACGTTTTGGTCTGGCCACCCCTAGCTTTCTTCCAACCTACTCCTACACCATGAAACATTGCACGTCGGAGCAGTCGGTGGTCGGGCATACGTAACACATGTCCCAGCCATCTCAACTGATGAAGTTTCACTACTTCATCAATCGATTTGCCATCCCTACCTAGTACTCGTTTCCTAACAACTGCATTACTTACCCGGTGGTCCCAGGATATACGAGCAATGCTTCGAAGACACCTGTGATCGAACACTAGTAGCCTACGAATATCCTCTACTTTTATTGGCCATGTTTCACTGCCATAAAGTAGGACGGAGCGAACTGCTGCACAGTAAACCCGTCCTTTGGTTGCTAAACGGATATCTCGCCTACGCCATAAATGACGCAAGTTGGCGAAAGCTAGACGAGCCTTCTGTATCCGTGCTGAGATTTCGTCACATACCAGACCACAAGGGCTGATGAGACTCCCAAGATAAGTGAAGTGGTCTACACGCTCAACTACTTCACTCCCTATCATTAGTTCAGGTGTCGCTGCAACCCAATCCTGAAGTAACATTTTGCACTTCGAGGGAGAGAATCGCATCCCGAACATGCCTGCATAGTTGCTTATAGTGGTCAGAAGACTCTGCATGTTGTCAGCGTCTTCACCGAGTAAAACTATGTCGTCGGCGTATTCTAAGTCAACAAGTGAATCTCCCAGTAAAAGTTCAACTCCTGGAGGTTTAGCTGATGAAAGTGCTATCTCTAAAAGTATGTCAATGACAAAGTTAAACAAGAATGGAGAGAGTGGACAGCCCTGACGAACGCCACTTGTGGTAATCAGTTCTGATGACAGTTCGCCATAATCTCTAACTCGACCAGTTGTGCTCGAGTAGAGAGCCTTTATGAGGTTAATGTACTTCTTTGGTACTCCTTTCAGTGACAAACATTGCCATAGAACCTCACGATCAACAGAGTCAAATGCCGCCTTAAGGTCAAGAAATACTACTATTGTGGGACGTCTGAATTTGTATCTATGTTCTAGAACCTGACGTAGGGTGAATATCTGGTCTATGCAACCACGTCCAGGTCGAAAACCAGCCTGGTTTTCTCTAGTCTGCTCTTCACGAGCTTTGGTTAGGCGACCTAGTATTATTGAAGCTAATATTTTAGAAACTATATTAGTCAAACTGATCCCTCTGTGATTGTCACAGGAGGACTTTTGTCCTTTCTTATAGACTGGCACAATCAGTGATTGGGACCAGTCAGATGGAATTACGTCCAGTTCCCAGATTCTACCTAAGACCTCAGTCAATCTCACTGCTAGTACTGGACCACCATCCTTAAAAATCTCAGGAGTCAACCTGTCAGGGCCTGCTGCTCTCCCTCGCTTCAGATTTCCTGTGGCTTTTTCAACCTCGTAGAGAGTTGGCGGACTTACATCAATTTGCCATTCAGGACGACTGGGGATCGTGGGTAATTGAAGTGTGGCTGAAGGCCAGTTGAACTGATCCCTAAAGTGTTCTGCCCATCGATCCAATCTCCTGGATTGAGAATGAATAATATGCCCATCTTTATCTGAGATGGTTTCACTGATATTCGGGTTCCTAATACCGGTTTCTTTAACGAGTCTGAATAGCTGCCTACTGTTACCTATTGCCGCTGCCTTTTCCATCTCTCTTGCTTTCGCTACCCACCACTGTTCACGATCATTACGTAGACTTCTTATAAGCCTGCGCTTAAGTTGACTCCGCTCTTCGTTATGCTCAGAGCCAGGTGGGATGAGTTTACGAGCATCTATCAGTGCGATAGATGCTGCCGAGATCCATTGTTTCTCCCTAACGTTATGGTTTACCTTATTAGCGGATATCACTGCTGTTTCCACAGCTTTTCGGATGTCATTCCACGCTGCCTCGGGGTGGACACAACTTACATAGCTGCCTAACTGTTTTTCTAGTTGTTCCTGAAATATATTCTTAGCTTGCCTATCATTAAGTAGAACCCTTAGAAGCTTCCCTGCAGTGTCTTTCCTACGACCAGTAAGACGCAGACAGATACGTGCTCGCACTAGAGCATGATCTGAATCTAAGCATGTGCCCCAGAATGAGCGACAGTCTTCTATCGAGCCCCTCCATCGGTGGCTGGTAGCGATGTGATCTAATTGGGTCCAACGTTGGGACGAATTCGGGAGTCGCCATGTCAAAAGATGTTTTTCCTTATGCTTAAAGTTAGTATTTGCAAGAAATAGGCGGTTATCTGAGCATAGCTGCAACAGACGGTCGCCATTATCTGTTCTTTTCGCCATGACACCATAAGATCCACCCAGGTGTCTTTCCCTTTCACTTAGTTTACCTACTTGAGCATTAAAGTCACCTGCTACTATTACTACATCAGAACGCCTAGCTTCTCGGAGAAGGTCAGAAAGTTTCCTGTAGAACTCATCTTTTATATCGTCTGAGCTGCAGTCAGTGGGAGAGTAGGCAGAGACGACGAAGAGGCAACGACGAGTTTCCCTATCTTTCCGGGTCCTTACTGATCCGTTTAGTCGGACAGCGCATAGACGACTGTCTACTGGGATCCTGTCTAAAAGAGCTACTTCTGCCCTAGGACTTAATGCTATACCTACTCCAGCGAGGCCACGGGAAGCAGCGTCAGGGCTTCCAGATACACGAAGCGTGTATCGAGATGAAACTTTATTTTGATTAGGTGCGGTCAAATGAATGACACTACTCGGATCTTGTATGCGCGTTTCGGAGACGCAGCACACATCGATGGTGTAAGATTCTAGAGTCCTAGCTAAGGAAGCCTGTTGTCCTATTTGGCACAATGTTCGGACATTAAAAGTTCCTATATGTAGTTTAGAGCGTGGTTTCAGGAGACTAGGAATAACGTTCTGTGTACTCGAATCGTTTGCCCTAGCGGTGCGACGTGATAAAAGGACGTGGGAAGGGTTAGTCGAGGAGATAACAGAGTTATTAGGTGTAGGAAGGATTTGAAAGCGACCAACTTGGTCTTGTGTGCAGTTAAGGGTATGAGGGCTAGTATCACTTCCCGGCTGCCCACACCGTGGAAGGGTATTTCTTGAGGGACCTGAAAAAGAAGTTGGATTAGTGTTGGTCTTAACGACCTGGGAGCGTGACCGCAGTGCCCAAGGGACAACTGCTTGAGGCCGGTCACGCACGGCCTTTTTGTGGGGGATTTTTGACGTGTTAGCTCCGTTCTTCAAAAGTCCTTACCGCCGGAGACGGAAATCCGTGGGATAAGGCGAGGTGTGCATTTTTAGGGTCGACCTTCTCTAACCCCACCCCTCCTTGTGGGAAGGCAGCATCACTGTTATGCTGGTTTTCCGAAGGAAACACCTTACTGCCGTCACACCTCTGTACAGTCAGCAGTACGACTTCGCCTTCGGACCTTGGGATTGCTGCTTTTAGTCTCACCGCTCTTCAACCGACCTGTCTGGCATGGTAGGACCTTGAGGAACGATTGTTCCAGCCAGCATAGCTCGATTGGATCATCACGATAGACAAGCCCGACCACCACGTCAAGGTAGCAGCAACGGTCGGGTTTAAATCTAATATCATTTTATTGTATTAATTTTCAAATATCCAAAGCTCTCAACAGTGGTCTTGAGTGCTGTTAGAGTTTTGAGGGTTGTTTCCACTTCCCGGTTGCCCACACCATGGAAGGGTTCGCTTAGAGGTACCTGAAAAGGAAATTAGGGTAGAATTGTTCTTAGTGACCTGAGAGCGTGACCGCAGTGCCCAAGAGACATATGCTTGAGGCCGGTCACACAAGACCTTTTTGTTGGTAATTTTTGTGTTACCTCCGTACTTGTTGAGATCTTGCCGCCAGAGACGGATATCCATGGAATAAGGAGAGGTGTGCGTTTTTAGGGTCGACCTTTTCTAACTCCATCCCTTCTTGTGGGAAGACAGCATCACTGTTATGCTGGTTTTCCGAAGGAAACACCTTACTGCCGTCACACCTCTGTACAGTCAGCAGTACGACTTCGCCTTCGGACCTTGGGATTGCTGCTTTTAGTCTCACCGCTCTTCAACCGACCTGTCTGGCATGGTAGGACCTTGAGGAACGATTGTTCCAGCCAGCATAGCTCGATTGGATCATCACGATAGACAAGCCCGACCACCACGTCAAGGTAGCAGCAACGGTCGGGTTTAAATCTAATATCATTTTATTGTATTAATTTTCAAATATCCAAAGCTCTCAACAGTGGTCTTGAGTGCTGTTAGAGTTTTGAGGGTTGTTTCCACTTCCCGGTTGCCCACACCATGGAAGGGTTCGCTTAGAGGTACCTGAAAAGGAAATTAGGGTAGAATTGTTCTTAGTGACCTGAGAGCGTGACCGCAGTGCCCAAGAGACATATGCTTGAGGCCGGTCACACAAGACCTTTTTGTTGGTAATTTTTGTGTTGCCTCCGTACTTGTTGAGATCTTGCCGCCAGAGACGGATATCCATGGAATAAGGAGAGGTGTGCGTTTTTAGGGTCGACCTTTTCTAACTCCATCCCTTCTTGTGGGAAGACAGCATCACTGTTATGCTGGTTTTCCGAAGGAAACACCTTACTGCCGTCACACCTCTGTACAGTTAGCAGTACGACTTCGCCTTCGGACCTTGGGATTGCTGCTTTTAGTCTCACCGCTCTTCAACCGACCTGTCTGGCATGGTAGGACCTTGAGGAACGATTGTTCCAGCCAGCATAGCTCGATTGGATCATCACGATAGACAAGCCCGACCACCACGTCAAGGTAGCAGCAACGGTCGGGTTTAAATCTAATATCATTTTATTGTATTAATTTTCAAATATCCAAAGCTCTCAACAGTGGTCTTGAGTGCTGTTAGAGTTTTGAGGGTTGTTTCCACTTCCCGGTTGCCCACACCATGGAAGGGTTCGCTTAGAGGTACCTGAAAAAGAAATTAGGGTAGAATTGTTCTTAGTGACCTGAGAGCGTGACCGCAGTGCCCAAGAGACATATGCTTGAGGCCGGTCACACAAGACCTTTTTGTTGGTAATTTTTGTGTTACCTCCGTACTTGTTGAGATCTTGCCGCCAGAGACGGATATCCATGGAATAAGGAGAGGTGTGCGTTTTTAGGGTCGACCTTTTCTAACTCCATCCCTTCTTGTGGGAAGACAGCATCACTGTTATGCTGGTTTTCCGAAGGAAACACCTTACTGCCGTCACACCTCTGTACAGTTAGCAGTACGACTTCGCCTTCGGACCTTGGGATTGCTGCTTTTAGTCTCACCGCTCTTCAACCGACCTGTCTGGCATGGTAGGACCTTGAGGAACGATTGTTCCAGCCAGCATAGCTCGATTGGATCATCACGATAGACAAGCCCGACCACCACGTCAAGGTAGCAGCAACGGTCGGGTTTAAATCTAATATCATTTTATTGTATTAATTTTCAAATATCCAAAGCTCTCAACAGTGGTCTTGAGTGCTGTTAGAGTTTTGAGGGTTGTTTCCACTTCCCGGTTGCCCACACCATGGAAGGGTTCGCTTAGAGGTACCTGAAAAGGAAATTAGGGTAGAATTGTTCTTAGTGACCTGAGAGCGTGACCGCAGTGCCCAAGAGACATATGCTTGAGGCCGGTCACACAAGACCTTTTTGTTGGTAATTTTTGTGTTACCTCCGTACTTGTTGAGATCTTGCCGCCAGAGACGGATATCCATGGAATAAGGAGAGGTGTGCGTTTTTAGGGTCGACCTTTTCTAACTCCATCCCTTCTTGTGGGAAGACAGCATCACTGTTATGCTGGTTTTCCGAAGGAAACACCTTACTGCCGTCACACCTCTGTACAGTTAGCAGTACGATTTCGCCCTCGAACCGTAGGTTTGCTGCTTTTAGTCTTACCGCTGAATAACCAACCTGCCGGGCATGGTAGGACTTTGAGGAACGATAATTCCAGTCATTAAAGCTCAATCGGCTCACCACGATAGACAAGCCCGACCACCACGTCAAGGTAGCAGCAACGGTTGGGCGTTCATCTTGTTATGCACATAATACTTATACTCTTACTACTCCTACCAATATGGGATTTGAATGGACAACTTCATCTCTGTGCTAATGTGTTATGGCAACTCGAACTGATGCATGTACGTACGAAGTTCTACGTTGTAACTGACTGACTGTCTATGCTAATGAGGTGTGGCAACTTGGATCGATGTATATATGTGCCTCGTCCTACGTTGTAGATGACTGACTTAGTGTAGGTTCTCAACAATAAAGCCAGTCATATTGTAGGTTGTCAATGTGTAAATTTTAACCATTTACATATAATTCTTCGCATTCTTTTCTGTCCGTCGGGGTTTTTATAATATGCTTCGTGTCATTAAAAGTAAACGTTAGCTATTTAACCTGTTGAAAACAAATCAACATTTATACTGTGAATCTATATTTCTCACGTTTTAGCTCCACTTTTTCTCAATGAGCTAATAAATTTTATATCTCGTGCTTTCCTCCCTCTTTCACGTAATACTTTCCCAATCTTTATATCTTGGTTATTGCTTTATTTTTTGAGTTGATGAGGTTGTAAAACTTCATGGCCACCTACCCCCTATATTGACGCGGAATAGTGTCTAGTTTGTGAGTAAGTTTGAAGGAAGTTAGTCACGGCCGGTATGATATTTGGTATTAGTGTATGAAGTTATTCACTGTTAGTCTGAGCCGTGTTGGTGGTAGATCCAGACTGCTTGGTTGGGTTTCGTTCAATAACTACGATCAGTGAGTAGACATTGGTTATGTGACCTAAAATCAGTCACATTGATTCATATAATTTTTTCTTTTATCTTCCTCTTAGATCTTGAGTTTCAACATTCCTTTATACATACCATCTTTTTGAACCATAATCTCAATATTTAGTTTATTTTCCTATCATTGCTATCTCTATTATTTGGACTCTTTCGTTATTCATCTCATTATGCTAGTTTGGTATGGCGATTTGTGCCGGTGCATATTTATGTCTTGATCTTTTGTCTAACGTCTCTGTGTTATTCATTAAATGCGTATACAGATGTTTTTGTGATAATATTGCTTTCGTTTATAACAGCCAAAATATTTCTACCCATAAGTGTTAGTTGAGACGGTATGCTGTCGTGGTTTTTCTGTTTGTTCTCCCCTAATTAACGATTTAGGCCCATTAGCCGCTTCTGAAATAATCCCTAAGTTTTCGTTCCCATTGTTATTATACAGCGTTTAACGGTACTATGTAGTCGTGGCTATAAAAGTCTCCTCCCTAGTTCTTCGTGTAGAATCTTACCCCACTTGTACCAATAAACACTGTCAAATATATAGTATTATTTCTTATTTTATCCCTTAGTTGTGTGAAGTAGAATGTTTTGGGGCCCATCAATTTAATCAAAGTTCTATTTGTACATTTTGTTGAATGCAGAATAACGTGAAAACCAAATGACGACTGAATTTTTGATATTCAGTAACATACTACCCCGTGCAATTTACTCCGGCCAAGATTAACTTTTTTAGTTGTTGATAAACATTAACCAGTGGTATCTGACAATTAAAAATTGGTTACTTTTGTAGGTGCCCTGAAGATGTCAAACCTCGTCTTCCACCACCACCTTTAAGATTGTCATGGCCGTTAGTCACTTTACGTCGTTTTGGCTTCTATGGCAATAGTTTGTTTAAAGTGGAAACAGGTAGACGGGCTCCACGCGGTGAAGGACTTTACTTGTTTCGTATTAAACATTTACGAGAATTCAGGAAGTCATTTGAGGTTAGTTTCAGGGGGTTTTATTGTTAAAGCCTATTTTTATGTTTTCATTGAATGGAAAAAACCGTAACTATGGAAAATTAATTTTAAAAATATAATGACTTGACGAAATGCTAGTACTGATACTATTATTGCAGACACAACCGTCACTTCCTAATAAATAACCAAAACAAAGATCGACACTGCTCGACTCAAGGAAGAAAAGTCAGGCTGCAGATAAATGGTTTTTTATGCATCAATCGCCGATTCATGACTGATTAAAACTATGTAGAAAATTGGTGAGGTATGTATATCATTTGATTACCTAACTAATAGTCCAATTCAAATACGATCCAACCGGGGCACTACTTGACATTGATCGACCAGTAATTTAATATATGCATACAATCTACGATATCACTAGGTCAAGTTGATTTGACTGACAAGTACAACTAAATCATTTAGGAAACGTACCAATATTGATGTTAAGTATGTTATGTTCTCTACCAGGTGACTGCTGATACGGTATATGGAAGTCGGGACTCAAACGCGTAGAACCTGCAGTTACAGGACAGAACAAAGGAAAAGTGGTTATTAAGTATCAAAATCGTACAGAAAAACAGGGAGGGTATTCATTGGTTTTAGTATACGCTATATCATTACAGTCCAGCCAATCCTCAAACAAGAAGTTATACGATTGTCCAAACGTAGCATGACACGCTGATACGCTAAAACGTTCTATCGGGTTCTTGTTGAATGTTATCTCTTTGGCTCCGTTTGATTATCTTTATGGATTTTTTTCGTACCCCTATTACATGTTTCAAAGGCTACTCCTACCTTATACAAAACTCTCCCCATTCTTTGTAGAATTATCCCTGGTTCCCTTCGATTTCGGCCGTGGTATGGTTTTGCTCGGCTGTACAGTTGGACACAATATATATATTCAGTCACTTCGTAAATGCATCCATAATAATTAGTAACATGTTTCCTTGAACTGAACCAGAAAAGTCTGTATGAAGACTCTCACAGGTTCTAACAGGCTTGGGCCATTACTGGGGTTCGCATTTCTAAAGTCTTTTAATAGCCTTCAGGGAAAATGAACGGTTATGAAATTTGTTCTCGATATCTCTGTCCATTGAAGGGCAGTATGCCTAAGACCGTACCAACTATTTCATCTCATTAATCCCAGGGTGATCACTGTGATGTTTCTTGGGAACTTTTTGACTCTAATTCTTGGATAGTTCGGTCTCTGAACATAGCACATGAGCTGACAACCATCAGTGAGTCACATTGATGAAAGTATATCAAAGTTCTCTTTGAAGGCGACGTTTTGGTCATCTAGTAAGAAGATAACCTTTAACTTCCCTTGATATGTTGTCATTTTCAGTGGTTTGTATGATAACTGCGAAGGTAACCGATAGTCCATCGATTGCATCATATAACACGCGACGAACTTGTTTTTTGGTTTCTATGTTTGTCGCGACAATGTCTTCTGAAGTTTTTGTCGGGAAACCTATTAATCTAGATAAAGCACCAACTTACCCAAAAGTTTTAGTAACCTGATACTTGATCTTAAAATCGTAGCCCAGAAGCGTGGTTCCCTATGATTGTAGTCGGTTAGCCGTGTGAATAGAGAATCTCTTCTTTGACCCAATTACGGCGAGTAATGGGTGATAGTCTGTTAATAGAGTGAATTACCGACCAAATATCACCTTTTTTTTCAATTTGCCATATATATATATACATATATATATATATATATATATATATATATATATATATATATATATATATATATATATATTGCATATCTTTGCGGCGTCATCATCATTACTAGTGGATCGATACTCGAAAATCGAAACCGAAAAACAACAGGATTTGTCTCGCTTTTTTTGTTGAAGGTACGAAATAAATTAGTTACCCACATACAGATAGACAGACATTTTCGCTAAATAACTAAAAAAAAAATGAATATACACATAAATACACTATTACCATATATGCTAAGCTAAAAATAATTTCTATTTTTGTAGGTTAAATGATTAGAATAGTAAATCATTCTTATCTAATAAACTATACCTTTCTTTTGTAGTAGACATGATTTCATTGTCACTTTTAGATCCCATATTTTGTTGATTTTTGACCAACAAAAATCAATTTACACTTGACTGATTTTTAATATGTACAAATCACATATGGTTTGTATCATGTGTAATTTTATCAAATCTTTGTGCTAGTTTCGTTATGGACATTTATTAAGTAAGAATAGCTGTCAATTTATTGTTAAAGCACTCATAGGGAGTGAAGTAGTTGAGCGTGTTGACAGCTTCACTTATCTTGGGAGTCTCATCAGCCCTTGTGGTCTGGTGTGTTACGAAATCTCTGCACGGATACGGAAGGCTCATCTAGCTTTCGCCAACTTGCGTCATTTATGGCGTAGGCGAGATATCCGTTTAGCAACCAAAGGACGGGTTTACTGTGCAGCAGTTCGCTCCGTCCTACTTTATGGCAGTGAAACATGGCCGATAAGAGTAGAGGATATTTGTAGGCTACTAGTTTTCGATCATAGGTCTCTTCAAAGGATTGCTCGTATATCCAGGGACCACCGGGTAAGTAATCCAGATGTTTGGAAACTGGTACTAGGTAAGGATGGCAAATCGATTGATGAAGTAGTGAAACTTCATCAGTTGAGATGGCTGGGACACGTGTTACGTATGCCCAACCACCGACTGTCCCGACGTGCGACGTTTTATGGTGAAGGAGTAGGTTGGCAGAAAGCTAGGGGAGGCCAGACCAAAACGTGGCACAAATCCATGAAGTCACTGACAAGTGGACTGAGCCATGTTGGTAGGTGTAGACTACCTGGTTGGGATTCGCGAGATGATAGCAACCGATAGTTAAAGACCTTTAATGACATGGCTCAAAATCGTTTGCAATGGCGAAGGTGTATCCACTCTTTGTGTTCTGCCGAATTCTAATTTTCTGAATTCCTCATGTCCCTATCCTTTTTCTCTTTCCAAATTTATTTCACTGTATTATACTCCTTCAATAACATCTTCAAACCCTTATCTTTCACATAATACTTATACTCTTACTAATCCTACCAATATGGGATTTGAATCGACAACTTCATCTCTGTGCTAATGTGGTATGGCATCTCTAACTGATGTATGTACGTACGAAGTTCTACGTTGTAACTGGCTGACTGACTATCAGCTATTCGGATTGGAAATCCGAATATCATAACTCCTATTTCTGTTTGTGTTGCTGGGTAGTGTTCCCCCAAATGCCCTGGTACGGCCGAGAGTGGGGAGAATCCTCTCTCCCTCTCCAAATGCTCTCAAATGACCACGCGTATATAGCCTCTGTCAGGGAATTCCTACTCATTGCCTTCTCGTGGTGAGGGTGTTGTTTACAAAATTGAGAGGACGAAAAGCGAATTTCCTACGCTTTAACCGGGTTGGTGGACACGGTGAGTCCACCTAGGGGAGTTGGAAAACCCTGATTCCAAACCAATGGTGCACATGGGCTCCAGTATCCTGAGGGAACAAATGGTGTATGAATCAATCTTTGGTCACCGGCTACCATAGGATTGCGTCTCCTTACGATGCTCCACTGCCTTGTGGATCAGACCTTTAGGTCGAGGGTTCCGAGTTTGGCCCCCTAAGAAAACCACGTGCTTCAGAATGGGCACCCGGACTGTATCGTAGCTTTTACACAAATCAAATCAGATTTGTGTGGCCCATATATATCTGGTGCTTCCTTGTACCAATATTTATGTGTTGAAATAAAATAAAATAAAACACTTGGTGAGTTATGCGACTTGTTAAGTAGAAAAAAAATAATTTCATTTGAATCCAATAGTCTATTTATATGTCAGATGTCCTATTTATTTGTATGTGAAGGAATATAAGATTCCATTGAGACTATTTCCCTCCTTACTTGGCCTACCAACGTGGTAGACATCATAAAAAGTTCTAAATTTCTGTATAAACATTGTCAAATTTTAGAATTCCAACAGTTTTGACAGTATTGGATTTAATCTCATTTGAAATGATCATATTACTGAGAAGATAAAGAGGAAAATGATGATTTAATGTCTTCCTCTTATCCTAGTTTTTTTAATTTTTGTTTAATGGACTAAATTTTTATTACGGAAGGACACCTGAATAAAGGGAAACAATTACTAGTATTAATGTATCTCCAGATGTTATTTACTAAGAAAGCTACTTTTCCAATCTGAAATGTTTCGTTTAAATTGATGCAGTTTACTAGTTAATCTACTTTTTCTCTCATTTACCGTTCTAAGTGTAACTTTCCATTCAATGATTTTATATACTTCCTCTAAGAATTATGACTACACAACAAGGTTTCGTATGACATACTATCGACAGTCATCTCTTAAAGTTTGATGCTGCAGTTGAGCTTATTGTTATATCTGGTTGACATTTTTTGATATCCTGTAATTATCAACTCAAAATTATTGGCGAACTATGGATTGTTTAGAAATATTTTTGCTCTTAGCTGATAATTGTCCCGACCGTTGCTGCTACCTTGACGTAGTGGTCGGGCTGATACTAGTCGACTAAGCGAATAATTCATTTTTAGATAAACAATGTTAAATATTATGAATACCATTTGATGAACTTCAGTTAGTTTGAAGTATGCAAATTTCCACTGCATCCAACTTTTTATTGTTTTGTACATCGATACGTCCTCATACTTTCGTAGAAGACTGTCAGTTTAGGATTAAAGTTCCTTTAGTAGCGTAGTTTATTTCACTTTACTCTGTTTTAATATTATGCGTTTTCTAAATGTTTCTTTTTCCATGCAACTAGACAGTGTGAGTGAACTAATATTTCATTATACAACATACGTACGTGCAAGCACACAAAGTTTTAGACTATCATTTATTATGATTATATTACCACTATTGTTTTCAATACTTTGTTTCATCCGTGGGATAATGTGATTCATGTAATAGATAAGAAAGTAACCAATCATAACACTAGAATGTGATTTAC